GGGGGCTGGAATACCAAAAAAAAAAAAAAAAAGTTGCCATTTTTAAGCATTCCTTTTTTACATACTGAGAGGTCTGAGGCTCATCACTTTCACTGTATATTGTATGACAGAAAATGTTAATAAATACCAAAAATAGAATACCCTGTAGGGCTAGAATATGCCAGTCAGAAGTCCCCCATCATTAGCCAGCTAAAAATGTAAAATCCTGTTAATACCCCGGATTGCAACAATATCCACAACATGTCGATGGCAGAATGAGAACACAAAAAGCAGAGAACGAGGCCAGCACAAGTGAGTCCTCTATATGCCAGCAACGTCTTATATTGGGCACCTTTTCTTTCATATTTAATTTGCTCATATTAGGATAGATTTACAAAGGAAAAAAAAAGAAAAGGATTTTGTTGACCATTTCCCACCTGGAAACCAGTTAACGTCTTGCTTCCATTTGTGCGTTTTAAAGCCTAACGTGTGATTTATTGCTGAGCTCTGGAATAGCACGGTTCATGGTCATCAAGCAATTTATCTACATCATACGTACACAGAGAGCCTCATCCTAACCTTGATGTATGGGCACAAAATTTCCACTCACTTCAGGGAGAACCTGCAAATACAACAGGAGCTGACCCAGAGTAAAGCAATATCCATCGAGAGCTGCTGCAGCGAATGAATTGCACTGGAGATTCTTCTCATGAACAAATTTCTCTGCAATTTCAACCCAAATGTTTTAAGGTGACTTGACACGATCTTTGAGTGCAGTGCTAAGGGACTGATTTCCAGTCTAATCCCCCTCAGAGACCACTCCAGGATCAAGCATCTATTTGAAATCCTTAAACACAAGGTGCTAATTTTACTCCCACTAGTTCATGGGTGGCACTCAAAGCAATGGGGGCACCCTGCCTTAGCTGAAAGACAGAAGATAGCCCAGTATGTTTAAATACGAACTTGGAAATGCCTTTCACACAACTCCTGTAGCCAGCCACAAATACATAAACACCTCTGTCAAGCTGCAAGCATAGCTTTGTAATTTGAAGCATCACTTGCGGAGGAAATCGTTTACATGTACCAAATAGTACTTCGGAGTCGAGTTTGCAGCAGAGACCATTTCATGTTTTTCTCTGACTGCCAGGCAGCATTCGGAGGAGACCTTGGCCACAAAACGTCACCTGGAGAATGAAGCTCCAGCCCACAAGCCACAGTGAGGACAGAAGGCATCAGGGCAACCCTCAGTTTCAGACTCCTTCCCATTCAGCCCCATAGGAACCACGCATGCAGCAGGAGGTTTGAGCTTTGCTGGTGTTTTGTCAGGGAGGGAAAATCGCTTACGTACGGTCGGCATATTTTTCCACATAGGAAGCATACGTGTCTCACCTGAAAGCATCTCTGCACTTCCCTTAACTCTGACTTGAAATGCTTTCAGTGAAGTCAGTGAGATAATCTCTATGATTAAAGGTAGGTATCTGAGTTCAATCTTTGCTGGACTTGAAATTTCTCCTTCACTTGTCCAGGAGAGAAACCGGAGCTCGCGCAGACATCCAGGAACACCCTCTCAGCTACAGCAGGACGGACAACTGTACATTACGTGCTGATCTGGCATCTATTGCAAATACCAGTATTGCATCAATGACAGGCTTGGTTTCCCCACCATCTTCACTGACTAATCTCAACAAGACCTCGGGGAGGCAATGAAGTATTATAACCCTGCTCTCAATGGCGGCGGGGCCTTAAGTTACAGAGAAAATAGTCAAATGTTTAGAAAAGGTTCTTCCAAAGCCTCCTCTTCTTCTCCCCCCTGCAATGGGGGTTATATCTGTTTTCAGAACTACTTATTTCCATTAGCCGGTAATGTCTGAAGATGGCAGGGAGATTTGTTATGGTCTTCCAGATTGCATCGCTGTGGTTTCTGCAAACTCGGAGCTGCCAGCTTGTGGGGACAGCTCTGCATTACCTGCCTATCCAGATGCTGTGGTTTTACCCATCTACGGAGGTTTTTCAGGCTTCACTTGCAGCTGAGGAATCGGAGCAAAGACCAGCACTGTGGGGCACCGGGTGGGCGGCCGGCCAGGCACTTCTTCCTTACTTGTGCTGCTTCGGTGTTGCACTCCTTCTGGTGCTTTCCTTTCCTTTCCTGCTGGCAGTTAATCTTCCCGAGCATTTACTGTAGGAAAGCTTTGAGAGGAGTCCTCTGCTTTGCTCGGAAGGCATTTATTTCCAGAAAGCTCCTGGTTTCCATGTTAGGAGACTGCCGGGGAGAGGGGGCACATATTTATTGCTCATATTCCTGTATTCCTTCATTCTGCACGCTTGCATGGAGGTCTGGGCCTCAGCTGCATCATTCAAACATGTTAAAATCCAAAATGCATATGCCTTTAAAATGACAGTTGGGGCTTTAAAACTAAAATAGCTACAGATTTAACCCAAAGCTGGCATCCCTCTGTAAGGATCAGCAGTGTATTTTATTAACTTTCAGGCTTCCTTCCGTAATGATTAAGTGCACCTTGTTCACAGCTAATACCTTTTTAGGCAGCATAAACAAATTGCTCTATTTGTAATCAATTCTAATTTATTCACACTTTAATTGAAATATCCCCTCCCTGCTACCACCCATAGCTGAGAAAACATGTTCGGCCCCATCTATCATGCAGGTGTAAACACTGCAACGCCATGTGGGCAATTATCCGAAGGAGAAACGCTGCTCAGCCAAATGCTCTTACCATTTTAACTTCTTGATCCAACACATTGCTTCTGCCTTTCCCTATCCCCCCCCTTCTTTTTTTCCTTCTGATGTACCGACCTTATCAATCAGCACCTGGATTGGACGGCTGCTTGGGATTCCTGGTTCGCCATTATCCCAAGGAGCCTGGGCAGGCTGCAGAGGCTCTGCAGTGACTAATCAGCCATGCCATACATTCCTTCTTACAGCTTAAGCATTTCCCCATGTCACTACACTTAAGAGATTATAAACTAGCCTGGGAAACATTTTCACTACCAATTTTAATATAAACTATTTTTCCCAAAGCCACATCGTCATCACTATTGATTGAAGAGAGGTGTAAAAAGATACTGGCTGTTTAGACCAGCAGATATGTCCAGCTACACAGATGTAATGATTATCATGCTTTACCCAGCTATATGTCACCTGTCACATAGGAATCACAAAGCAGTGTACCTATTTTCTTATCTAATCCTCTGAACAGTGACATGGGATACCATCATCATTCCCATTTCATAGATGGAAAACCTGAGATACAGATGACTGGTGGCTTCTCCAGCAGCTAGGCAGACCTTGGGAATGCTAACCCCAGCGTCCTCGCCTGCCTCCCTCCTCTCCGGTGATACAGCACTCACTGAAAACCAGCCATATGTCATGGCTATCAAAATTCAGATGGAAATACAGGAGCAGAACCCAAACCAAATACAATGGGTTTAACCCAGCAGTACATATTTTAACAGTGCCACACATAATCCATCTTTTGAAAGATGCTGGAGCTCATCTTTGGCAGGGAGTATCAGCACATACCGCTGTAGATGTCAGATGGGACTAGAGCTGTTTTTTTCTTTCCCGAGCCAAAAATTGTGATGGCACTTAACCAACTATGTCCAGGGCTCCCCCCCTGAAT